TATTCCATTGTGATGTCACATGTCGGCTGCGCGTTTCTTGGTGCGCGGTGAGTTATAAAGTTATTGCGCATGTTCAGTGTGATGGTTCAGTCACGTGGTATAGGGACTTTGACCTACTTTCATAACGATAAGGTTATGAAAGGGAAAATAATATGATTTCGCGATGCAAAGTTAAAACTTATTGTAGGACAGTATGGAAGCGTTTAAGTTATATTATTGAGAGAGATGGTTTCTTAGGAAGTAATGAATTTATAAAAGAAAAAGCTGTTTAGTAGTCAATTACTGATTTATGATGATCATAGATTTTCTAAAAGTTTTCATGAGTCCATCCAAATACTTTTGAAGGCTGGTTGTGTAATAAATATATCATCATTCTCATCAAATTCCTGAACAATGTCTTCACAATCATCATTATCCATCTTCTCATCCTCATCATCCCTTATACCAACGTCACCATCAACAACATGAAAACCCTTTAAGATGTTAAGAAGTAATATTTCTTGATGATAACGAAAGAAAAATCCTTATCGTTGTATCATCGACCAAAACACACCATAAAATTTAATATCATCGTCACTCTTAGCAAAACTCGGCGTCGACTGCCATCGGCGGATCCCATCTCACATCCATAATCAGCGCTACCTACCATCCCCATCATTTTACGGTTATTGTAATCAACATCAGCCTGATATCATGACCAACATTTGTAGATGTTATCTTCGTCACCATTATCCATATCATCATCATAGTTATCTTTTAGTTTCTTCACAATTTTTCATCACAGCCATCACCCTTCACTTTTCACCATCCTCACATTATCATTTACTTGATCATTCACATCGTATTTCTCATTTTTCATCACAAAAGTCACTATCATCATCATTTTCACCATCATCATCATCATCACTACCACCATCATCATCATTATCATCATCATCACTACCACCAACATCATCATCACTACCATCATCATCATCATTACCATCATCATCACTACCACCATCATCATTTTCATCATCTTCATCACCATCATTTCCATCACCACCACCATCATCATCATCATCACTACCACCATCATCATCACCATCACTATCATCATCATCACTACCACCATTATCATCATCATCATTGCTATCATCATCATCACTATCATCATCATCACCATCATCATCATCACTATCATCATCACCACCATCATCATCACCATCATCACTATCATCATCATCATCATCATCACTACCACCATTATTATCTTCCATTTTCGTAGTCATCATCATAATCATCAGTATTATGAATATCGTTAATAATCGTCACTATCTTTTATCAACATATGCATGAAAATATCCACACTCACACAAACAAATATTTAAAACATACCATCAAGTGACAGACGGATACAAGAAACAACTTTTGTGAACATAGAGTGAAAATATATTATACATGTATAACAAATTTCAGTGAAAAAACTTTGTGTTTACAATACTCACTAGCTTTAAAAAAATAGCACCATTTGCATCAGGATCGGTTTCACACAACAAGTACGACTTTTTTAAGTATAAAAAGCTGGCAAGAGCTGCAATCACCATAATATGATTCATTTTCCATTTACATGATCACAGGTACTTTTTCTAATAGTGATATATAATGTATGTACTACTGGACTGCTCATAACTTATGCCCTGTGAAAGAAGTATATAGTCAAAGCTCTGGATCAACTACTGTACATTCTTATAACAAGTTCTCTGTACATCTTAAAAATACATTGGGCAGTGTAGTACTAGGGCAGTGTCAAAATGTCATTTGAAATAAAAACGTGTAAAAATAACAACATGTAAAACTTCATACTTTAACATATATGGGGGTTTTGACTTTTGACCATTCAAAAATGATCCAAGATTAAAAATTGAATACTTCACACAAGTAATTTGTTTCTCCAAGTAAATATAATCAAAATATAATATCGACCACTACATGAAAAAAGCCTGAGAGTATATAAGAATAGCAATAGTGATAGTGCAATCATAAAGAGATTTGTCTAATCCTTAGATCATGGCCCATATTCATAAAACCTTAATAAGCCTAGTTGTCAACTAACGATTTACTATAACCTACATAATTAATCAGTAGACAACTAGATTCGTAAGGTCATATAATTATGAGCCCGGGAGTATTTTCGTGATTTTCCTTTCAAATAGTTACTCTATACTTGTTCTAAAACTTGTGGTTATTGAAAAAATGTGGGACATTTACATGTTATATTAATCAAATTAGCCATGGTCATTTCAATCATATAAAAGCATTAATAATCTGTTTTAACACTTTTATTCATTTCCACACTAACGTCTCAGGTAAAACGAGCAGTCTATAGCTTTTGATTAAAGTATATTTTTTACTACAGCAATTAAGTCTAATACTAACTCGTATACACACACAATTAGCAGTGTTTAGCATTCAAATAGTTCAGTCTGTTGATCTTAATATCATACATGTATAATTGACATAAAAGCACTTTCAGAAAAGAATCCAATCCTAAACAATTTATAAAAACGCCTAGTTTGTATACTTAGCAAAAATAAAGGTTTCTTAGTATGTATTCCAGTTATAATTAATTGACAATAAAATGCAACATACTTGCAAATCATTATGAAAATTGAAAAAGAAAATTAAAATATATACGTATTCATCATAGAATTAAAAAAAACTTTAGTACCGTATGTAATTATTAGCACCATACAAAACTACAAATATGTCACTGTAAGAACACTTATGTGATATAAGAGAGCATTTAATAGAATTACAAAACTCAATTTTATACCACTGAATTCAACAAAGGCCTATATTCTAGTATAGAGTCAAATTGAGCAATATGCTAAGAAATCATCTAAATCTTTAAAAAGAGGGTTGAAAACAAGGTCCAAATACATCTATTTCAGACCATTTTTAGTCACTAACGAAAAGCACATTTCCTATACTTTACTGACTACCATATCATCACATCTATATTTGATGCAATACGATATTGTCTGTTTGGAGCTATAAGGCATAGACTCATCAAACTTTACACAGAGTTAATGCCCTTCTGGCTCAAAAAATGTATATTTCAATGTAATACTGTTTGGCATCATAAACCAAGCATACAAGACCTGGTAAAAAGGCAAGAATCTTTGTAGGAAAAGTTAAACATTTTGATAATAGTACATGATTACCATAGTTCATAGATCTATAACATAAGTGTCATACTTTATAATTTTCTATATTTTGTTATATATAAGTACTGTAATAGACTAAATAAATTCAGAAATTTGAATCATCCTGTTATTCTGGTTTAAAAGACAAGATCTGGCATAGGATAGCATCAATATAAACTAGATGAATTTGAGGGAATTCAAAAATATTGCGATTGTACACTCCATTTTCACTAATGTCACACAAGACGTCGTGGTCCAGTTGATACCTCACTGGACAGTGAGTTACATGGTTTGCAGTTCAAGTCCCTACCACTAATGTCCTTTTGCAAGACATTAATCTAAGTATCTACGTTTGCCACTCTTCAGCCAGGTGTCAACAAGACCAAGCTCTGTAATTATTAGGATCTCTGTCCAGTAGTGCCGTGTTTGTGCCATCGAACTGGATCGACCAAATCAATTGATTCATAACATATGTATATGCAATATTTTTTCCTGTAACATGAGAGTAATTTTAATAGTCTCACACTATTAATTAAATGTATTGTTAACTGTAACTGTATAATTGTTTTAAATGGGGGCACGCTACAAGAGTTCTATCTCGCACCCCGGGGCAACGTGTCTGACACGGCCGGTTGTAGCAACTACTCCGAAGATCAAGATTACAGTAATCTTGATCTAAGGAGACACGAACGAACGAAGCCAGGTGTTAAAGTGACTCAGTAACATTGCCTCAGATTCTGAAACAAAATCCTGGATTTAGCTCATGCTTCAATCATAATTATATACCTTTAAGGTCAATCAGGAATCCCATGACTTTTACAAGCCGATCGCCTGTCTGATTATCAAGATATTTATTATCGGAAATCAAGTTTTCATTTTTTGTTTTCCTAACAGCTTTCATAACACTACAGTCTATTGGGGAAAATGAGTATGGTAAAACCGGTCACTCAAAGATTTTTACTTTTTTGAGGCACTTCATGATCATTTTAAAGCGCAATTTTTTTAGGGCTTCAATATCACACCATATCACAGACACTGATAACACGTAGGGCCATGCATCTCAGATTTAACATTGTTAAACGATGCCTTAAATGGGTACCTAGTAGGATGTCAATAGTAATGTGGTTGGATTGGCATGTGTACTCTTGAAAATGGCCCTTGCAAGAGTACTCCCAAAAGTGAAAACACAAATCGTCCCTATTTTCACGAAGTGACGGTAGTGAGGAAAATCGTCACGCAAAGTGAATGCAATTTTTTTTCACTACCGTCACTTCGTGAAAACAGCGACGATATGGGTACCCTGTTTTGTGCGCAAGTACTTTTCCCACCTCCACTTGCTTCATGTACAGTAAAATATAAAAATACACTGAAGTTTATAAGCTTCCCTGCCTTTAGACTAAGAGATCAGTCTCTCTTCTACATAATGATGATTTAACTGTCACAAAAATAAACACCAAAGCCTCCAAGAAGATGGATTTTTCTGTCTACCCAATCTTTAGCTATTTCATCCATTGAACTGCATGCCCTCTTGCATTTGAAAGGTGACACAGAAATATGTCTTGTAGATTTGAAGTTTTCATTCATTTTTTAAAAATAACCATATCAATATAATGTTTAGATATGAAGTCCTACTGAAACACTGATTTTGTCAAGTGCTCTGTGAAGCTTGGAACCTGAAACAGCATACAAAGTGCACGTCATCATTGAATGTGCTTTCCAAGATATATGTGCATGTGCATAACAACATGCTGCATGAGCAGTGAGCACCATTTCTGTTTCTATGTTTAATAACATAGTCCTCCAACTAACTGGTACTTATCCTGACTTACATGAATCATGAAGAAGTAATCATTCTCGATGAAACAAAAGCATGGTAGGCTTGGAAAATTGTGACTTTCGGGTGCCTTAAATGATTGCTCAACATGTGTTGACTCGTGCCTGTGAATACAGGACAACTTTCTTTCTCCATTTCAGTATTTCTCTTACAAAAATGTATATTTCTTTTTCATTTCATCCTTTCACTGTCCTAATCAACCAAAAAACGAATGCAGACAACGTACCACCAGTGTTCCCCATGTACACAATACCAACATTTGCACATTTATATCGAACCAGAGGAACAAGTGCAGACGAACGAGCGAAAGAAGAAGCCGTAGATCTTCATCATCCTCTTATCCTCTCGTTCATCCTCTTATTCTTTCATAGACTCCGCCTCCTGCTCAGAACTCATCATCAAAGTGGGCGTGGTGGTAGTGGTAGGGGTCGGCCATGAGTGCTTCGGTGAGCAGCTCCCCGTAGATGCTGTGGATAGGAACGTCTGGACCCCAGGCATCTTTAACCTTCCCTTCTGAATCGACCAAGAACTTCCAGAAATTCCAGGTTGGCTCTTGATGAGCATTTGCTATAAGAATAAATAAGTCAATCAATCTATCATTCAATAAAACAATCATATCAATTATTATTAGTATATTATTGTTGTTCTTGTTAATAATAACAACAACAGCAACAAAAAATAATGATAGTAATAATAATAATAATAATAATTAAATTAAAAATAGTATATTGGCTTCATTTAAATTTATATTGCACACTTTCCATCCTAAGGTGCCTACAAAGTATGGTTATATTACCCTGTCTTCAGGCTCACTGCTTTAATTCGCTGAAACTTCAAGGAATAACTTCCTGTCAGGTATCCATTTACTATGCCTGGGTAGAGAGTGGCAAATTTCTAGAACTATGTGACCCACAGTGTGGTGACTTATCCACTAGACACAAAAACGTCCATACACATGAAAGAGAAGGAAGCTATTTTCTGAGCTTATGCGTTTTAGTCACATGGATTGTGTTTTTAGTCACATGGATTGGAAAAGAAGACCTTCGGGTTAAAGATATTAAGTTAATCTTTTTCTTTTCCTGGCATCTATGTGACTCTTGTTTTATATTCACTGATTTTCAACAATGTGTACCTGTGGAATGCAACCGATAGGGACATAAATATTTAAAAAAAAACAATGTGATTCCTCTGTCTTTGCCGAATAAATAAAAATAACAATATTTGAAATCTTCATGCATCAACTCTTGAGAAAGGCAAGAATTTGATTGTATCCCCATTATCAATATACAACAAATGCTTTTGAAGATTGTCAACACTATTACTCTCACTCAGACATTGAAAATCAACATAAAAATTGTAGATTAGAGGCAAGTTTCCCCCATAGACTGAAAAATCTGGCTTCTCTGAAGTGTCAAACAACAAAATATGTTTTTTTTATAAAAGCAAAACAGACAGGTTTTTCTATCTAGTTTTTCCCCTCCCACACAGAAAAAAAGAAACATCAAAGGGCAACACTTTATAGCCTGTTGCCCTCTTTATATTTCAAGTTTCAATGATGTGACCAAGGCCCTGTTTCACAAAACTTTTCATCAGTGACAAATGACAGTTTTGGTTATAAGCAAATGAAATCCTTGCTTCTGATTGGTTATCAGCAGATTTGTCACTGATTTTAGTAATTTGTCATTGAAAAAAAACTTTGTGAAACGGGTCCCAGGTCCATGATGTGACTTACATGTAAGGTATTGCCAGGCTGGATCCGCATCGTATCCTTTGACTTCTACTTTGGCAAAGAGAGGGAATTCAACATCGTACAAGGCTTTGACGTAGTGTTTAATCTCCTCATTGGATTGTGGTTCCTGGTGGCCAAATTGGTTACACGGAAACGCCAGGATGTTGAGACGATCTTCGAACTGTGGGTCCTTGCTGAGGTCCACAAGGTCGCGGTAGGTCCTGTCGGTGTAGCCGCAGTCACTGGCTACATTCACAACAAGAGATGGCTGTAACAGTGACAGATAAGGAAACAAATTACTGCCTTTTAATTTATTAGTAAGAACAAATAGAAGTATAGAACAATCAACAATCATGACAATTATTATGGGTATCGCATGAAGACTTTTCAGAAATAATACAAATTTATACTAATTACTAGTATTAATACAGTAGTTCCATACTTTACTTTAACACACAATGTTGTTGTTCTAAGCCTGTTCATCGATCCAGAATTCTTCCATGGTCAGATCTACTGCTATTTGTGGCAGTAATTTACTAGCCTGTTTTTTTACAGTACGACTATCGACTATTTACTAGATCTAGATCTATAATATATTTACAGATAAAACAGTTGAACAGATAGAACTTAGATTTAAAATAATTTAGAATAGGCCTGAGTCATTACGGTTTTTGTGCTAAACGTTTAATCGTTAAATGTATATGGGCGGTTTCGTTTAACCGTTTTGAAAATTCACATATTTTTACATGTGTGTAACTTCAGTCATTTCAATGAAGTCATAATGTTTTTAGATCTCTATCGGGGCAACAAAGTCTTGCCAATAGACTGTAGTCTGGTAGTTGTTTTTCTCAAAAAATTGGACAAAAAACCAAAACAAAACAAACAATTGCTTCTGGTGTTAGTGTTATTGTTACTTGGTTCAATTCAGCTCACGTCTACCCTTGGTCTAACTCCTGGAAGCTCCAACACCGGCGCCGGTGTTGGAGCTTCCCGGAGTTACCCTTGGCCATGGCCTGGCGCTGGCTCGTCCGTAGAAACTACCTGCTACCTGCCTCAGCTCAGCTCAGCTCAGCTCGGCACGGCGCATGACTCTAGCGGCAATGCATCGCCATGTACGCCGCGCTGACGGGCCAGGAATCCGACGAGAGTACTTACCGTGCCACGGTACTTTTCCAGGCGAACCCGCTTCCCTTCGATGTTTTTCACTGTAAAATCGTAGAAATTGTCATGCCACTCTCTTCTTCCATGGCAATAATCTACATGCCAGGTCATAAAGATATTCACAAGAAATAACAATCGTAAAGCTTGAAAACCCATCTTGATCTTGACTGTGTAGACGTGTAAGTTAGACTAAGCTAGTTTGTCATCAAACATTGGTATGGTGCAGCATGGAGGCTGACATGTTAGGCTCAAAATCATTTGTTGAATATTACCTCTTTTTTTTAATTAATCAGACTAAAAATTACTTTTAAAAGTTAACAAAAATATAAATACTTAGTTATTGTTATTTATTTGTGACAAAATATAAGATTGATTAGGAATTGCTATATTTGTATATCTTTCTAAAAAAAATATTCAACGATGCAGTAGATTTCTTCATCCAATCAGCATGCGCCGAATGACAGGCAGCGAATGGTTTGTCCAATCACAACGCGGCAGGTTTAAATGTCGTGCATTATGCAAAAAGCAAACGCAAATCAAAACAACACGCCCGTGAATGCGAAGAAAAGCCATCAGCTGATTTCGAAATTCGAAAGACCTTCCTCAATTGCTTATATCTTCTATTCTGTATAGGTAAGTTTCTCGAATAATTTGCACCTAATTTGTTCACGTTACTCAGCTCAGATATAATGGAATTTAACTCTAGATCTAGACTAGACTAGTTACGCATTCAATTTCAACACAAATTTTTCGGCGTGTGTCTTGTGAATTGTGTACATGTGTCAGTTGGCAGTGATGGCCATAGCCAGTGCAGTGCGAGTTGTGTGCAGTGCAGTGCAGACTTCTCTTCTTGTCTTGTTGAATGTTGAAATCGGGCTAAAAAAAAAGATAAAGTAGAAGCTGAAAGGCGAGATGGTAGTCCTTCTTATTTATGTAGACTATTCTAAAGTATGTGAAGAGAAAGTGTCATAGACCTAGGTCTATATTTTGTCAAAATACAAGCAAGAATCATTCTAGACAGCAATAACCATCTGATTTGGGTCATTTCTTTAATAAAACTGACATTTGTTGTCATTCCCCAATACAGATGGCAACCCAGACAGAGATCTCGTACCGTGGGGGTAGCTATAGCCAACAATGGCAGCTTTTTGTGTCAAAAAATTTTCTCCCCGATTTTCTTTATTTAGACCTAGATCTAGATCTAGATCTAATTTTCTGATTTCTAAATCAGATGTAAATTAGGTCGGTAGGCTATGTCATTTGTCCTAATTACAGTTATCAAAATTTGATAACTTAATATTAAATGTATAATTTACGGACTTACTTATATGAATTATCCAATTTGTATTTCCGAACTGTGAAACGGTACGTTCATGCATTCGAAATATTACCCGGCGGCCGATATATTTCCGGGTCCACCTACCAAAACATAGCCAAATGGCCAATCAGAGCACTCGTTTCGTGGGAGTTCGTTGGTCAAGCTGGGCCGACTCGTACGTAGCTACGGTAGCTATTGGACGTTCGAAAAGAAAAAATGAATATTCATCAACTAAAACCAAGACGGATAATGTTGACGACGAGACTTTCTCGGATTAATCATTAATTTAGGATCTAAATGAGCAAGCTATCGTAAGTCAAATAAGCTATATAGACCTATATGTTATTTTTAATTAGACTCTAAATTATTGTCATATTGCAGCATGTATGAGGATGTAAAGAGTGAAAATCTCGTTGCATATCTCATTCATCGCGGTCCGGTCGAACCGAACCATTTGTTCCGTACAGTGCCTCACAGAAAGAGGTCCCCAGACTTCAGTCTCTATAATCGGAGGTCTAGTGTAGTGGAGCCAGACGTAGTCTCAGTGGAACAACCGACGATTAGAGAGACTGAAGCTTTCGGTCTAGAATCATTCATAACAATTAGATCTAGTCTAGATCTAGATCTAGATCTAGGTCTAGATTCTAAGTTAGGTCTACAATCACAATGTAATTTTCAATAATTTTCAGTATTCAAAAACACAAGTTATTATTTTTTAAGGGGTTGTACTTGTAGCGTGAAGAGACTGCATTTCCATTTACACTGGGTAAGGCTGTGCAGGGTAGTCGAATGCTCGAGTACCCGCACGGTTGACAACTACTCGGGTACGATTTCTCGTACCCGAATATTCGGCCGCAAAAAAAAAAAAAAAAAAAAAGATTTTTTTTTTTTTTTTTTTTTTTTTTTTTTAAATGTCCAGGCCGACGCTTACCCGTGCCTGGGTGAGCGGCGGCCGCTGGCATGGTGCCGTCGGTAAAAATGTTTCCCAACTCAAGCACTGTCAAACTCACCACTCAGAAACTGGGACCAAATGTCTGGATTTCTGCTTGGACTTGGAGGAAAATGGATTATTCTGCCATCTTTGGTTTTTAAAACAGCATTGTTCACTGTTATTATTATTATTAAATCGGCGCCTTCAACTGCAACTCAAAGTAAAATTGCATGCGTTTTCGGCTACAGAACTGGGATACTGCTCCAGTGGTATGTATGGTGGTGGCAAAAAAAAAAAAAAAAAAAAAAAAAAAAATCAAAAAAAAATCAACAAAAAAAAAATTCAAAAAAATTCAAAAAAAAAAAAAAAAAAAAAAATCAACAAAAAAACATGGCGTCCAAATACTCGAGTATTCGCTTGTAAGCATGGGAGTGTACTCGGGTACCTCATTACACTGTTGTGCACAGCCTTAACACTGGGTGTAATGCTACTTAAGGACAACGTGACCTCTGGACCATACATACACATACACAAACATACACGATACAGAAGCGTGAGGATTGAGAACTTTGGTCTGTTTCGCAAATGCTAGCGCGCGCTGACTGTTAATCAAGTCCTGCAGTGGTCCAAACAAGTCGTAGATGGCATTAACCAGTATTTGCCATCCTAGGTCTACACCCTCTCTCTCTCTCTCTATCTATATGGATCTATATATAGTCTAGATCTAATTTAACTTTAGGCCTATATCAGTAGGGGCGCTGGTCCAAGAATGAGGATCGTCCTCATAAACAAGGATATCCTCATAAACGAGGACAAAATGCGTCCTCAAAAATAAGGGTCGTCTGCATTTTTGAGGACGTTTTTTTTTCATCGGCGCTCTGGGGGTTTCATGTTACAGAACGGCCTGCTGGCGATGCCAAAAACGGATTCCCCGGGGGAAAATAACCCTAGTTCACCGTCTACTGTTATGGGTTGTCCGTCTTCCCAAGGATTTATTGCTGATAATGTGAAAGTCTCTGTACAATGTCAATGTAAAATGCATCAAGAAAATCATTGCAGAATCCGTTTTTTGCATCGCCAATGCGCCAAATTAAAATTTGAAACGTCTGCAAAAATGCAGACTGTCCTTATTTTTGCGGACGCATGGGTCCGTTTTTAGGAAGACGATCCTCGTTTATGAAGACGATCCTTATTCTCGGACCAGCGCCCCTACTGTATATAATATTAAATTATTATTAGCATAATTGTGCCGAAAGATTTTGTCAAAATTGAAGCCAGAACAATATAGTTTTCACAAGATATGCCCGGATTGCCTGGCCATGGCTACCACTTCCATGCTAACTTATTCCATGCAGCTAGCTAGTTCGATAGATTTCCCCCATTTCATGAAATTTCTTTATATTTCTTTATATATGGGATTGGACATTGTGTTTTTGAGAAGAAATGGTTTGTATGAAAGAGATCGATCTATACCAAAGTTTACCATTTTTAATATTTCTTTGTTTCTGCTTTGACTTTCTATCTAGCTTAGCTGAGATCGGTTTCCAAGGCGTCAGCCATGTCTCACTTCTACTCTGAGATTGAGAAGCTGACCAAGTTGGACGGTCCCACGGGTGGACCCGACATGAGATGGCAGAGGAAAGCCAAGGAAGTCAGCAGCTGCGGGAATGTCTCCATGAACAAGAGCCTCAATACCAGCTCCATGTCGCCCATGAAGATGTCCAACAGATCCTTTGGTGTTGCCAAAACGCCTTCCAAGACCCCAGGAGGAACCATCAGATCAAAAACACCAGGGAAAGGTTAGTTGTACCACACATAGCTGCATCACTATCCTGGCTGTGTAGTAAAAGCTGTGCTATTGATTCTCAACATTTCAAACACCACTGTACAAAACTCAACTAATTTCACTAAAAATTGGGGCGCTAGTGTAGTTTCGTATCCATTTTTTAAAGCAGTTTTTTTACCAGTTTCATATCGATTCTTAGCAAAGGAATTTTAGCCCAATTTTTTACTAATTTTATTTTAATCATAATCATATATTGCATTTACCAATTACCACCTGAATTTGGATCACATCCGACATCGGGAAGCCTCCGTTTAGGGCTTCGATGTCGACGTCGTCGCTCAGTACCGTCTCCGCTTTTAAGCTTTGCAACTCAAACTGAAGCTATCAGTCTAAAATTATGCAAGCTTCTCGTATAATTTATGGTATCGAGCATGTGCGTAATACCATAAAGCATACGCGAAGTTTGCATAATTTTAGACTGATAGCTTCAGTTTGATTTGCAAAGCTATAGCGCGGAGACGGTACTGAGCGACGACGTCGACATCGAAGCCCTAAACGGAGGCTTCCCGATGTCGGATGTGATCCAAATTCAGGTGGTAAATGCAATATATGATTATGATTAAAATTAGGAAAAATTGGGCTAAAATTCCTTTGCTAAGAATGGATATGAAACTGCTAAAAAAATGGATACGAAACTACAGTAGCGCCAAAATCGGTACTTTAGTGACAATTAATGACACCTAAATAGCAGTAAAATACAATTTTTTCAACTTACTGATGTTAAAAAGAATAATTTAAAAATTCAAATTGTAAGTCTAATGTTAAATTTACCGATCAGCCTCAGGTGCTTTTGTGTGCAGTCTATGCAATAGTGTATGGTGTGCATATCTGTGTAAAATACCTGCCTCTCAGCAAGTATGCATTGCTAGAGGTCAATACGCATTAGCATTGACTCTCTATGCTTTGCTGGAGTGAGTTATACCTATACTCTCCATCTTACATTCAAGGGGTGATCTGACATTTGTTCTGTACTGTATTTCATCTGAAGTAATCTGGATTGAGATTGGGATTTCAGGTTACATTTAGGGTCAATGTTAGTGTTCAATAGATAGAAGAATGAAGGTAGGAATTCTGATCAAAATTTATTGTGGAGCAATACTTTTGGAGGAGCATGTTCATGTACAGGTACAAT